CCCGCGGGAGCGGCGGTGCTTGCGGGGGCTGTCCCGGAGCTGGGGACTGACACTCGTGCCATCGCTGGGTGCTGCTCCCTGCCTGTCCTCACCTGCCAGGTGAGACACGGGTGTGGGGAAGTCCTGCGAAACCGTGTTGGTCTTGTCCTCTCAGCTGTGCTGGGGCTTGTGTGGAAATAAGCAACCAGAACTTTGTCCCGGTAGGGTTTCTTAGAGAGCAGATGATGCACTGGAAGAAAGTAAAAGACCTTTAGTTTTTTTTGGAAATCCTGTTGTTTAGGGAAATTGAAATTGGTTAAAGACACATTCCTCGCCTTGAAGGTTGGTTGGAAATTGTGCACTATGCAAGTATGGCAAAGCTCGTGGTAGGCAGTGTATACCGTGCTTCATTTCTCCAATACACAGCTGCAGAAGGAATGCAGTGAAGCAGCACAGCCTTGTGCCACACTCAGGGTTGGGATGGGCCACACTCGGTCCATGCAGTCCCTGTGGAAAGCAGTGCAATCATTTTCATCATGTCCAGAAGAGTGACCAGAAACCTCTGAGTCTGCTAAACAAAAGCTTCCTCATTGTAGCTGTTAACCCTTCTTAGGCTCATATTAAGAGAGAAGGCAGTGCTTGCTGCGGGATGCAGAGCAGGAGTCTGATCAGAGCTTGGTCTTCCAAGAGTACACTTTGGGCTAGAAGGTTTCCTTAATAAGCTCAGTCAGCAGAAATAAGGATGAACTCGAATTTGTCTTTACATAGTAGGTATTGGTTAAGCTTGTGAGTGTTAGGTGAAGTGTATTAGAGATTTGGGGTAGAAACACCAATAATACTTCCCCTTTTAAGTCTTGTACCCATGTGTGTTACCTCGTTTGAGCAAAAGGAGCTGTGAAATGCAGGTTTGCTGCTTCTGTCACAAGAGCATTTTGGCAGGAGAGGGAGCTGTGGACCCTCTAGGAAAGCCTTACACGGATCAGTCTTTCTCTAGCCATGGCAGTAGAAACATGGGTGCAAAGTCAGAAGCCAAAAAAAAAAAAAAGAGCTGAGGGTTTATTTGCTGAAGGACAAGGTGGTAGCAGCACACAGGTTTGTTGAGCATTCCTAGTGGAAGGTGTCCCTGCCCACTGCAGGGGGGTGGATAAAATGGTGTTTTTTCCCTTCCAACAGATGATTTAAACCCCTAAGAAACTCCCCTAATGAACAACTCCAAATCTGCAAGTTTAAAAGGCTGGTTGTACTTCTAGAAACAATTACTTTGTGTGAGTATTTATATATCAATATGTGCTGTATATTATTCTCATTGAGAGGAGCAAAGTATCAGTGGGTTATCATTTTACTCCTCCAAGTGAGTTGTATTATCACACCATATTTTACTGCATATTTATATTCACATAGAACAGCGTTGGAGACTTGGGTGTTGTCAGGTTTGCTTTAGGTTTTGCCACCCTTATTACACAATATTCAATACACAAACTGTTTCTCAATATGAACACCTGGTGAGGAAACCTAAGTTGCTATTTGAGAACCTATGCAAAAATATGTAAGTTCTTATGCAAAATCGATTATGCAGCCTTTTATGTATTACTTATCTATTATGACACTGAGGTAGGACTTAGTACAAAGGACATTTTAGCATTTGGTAACTGGACTTTGTTTATGCAAGGGAAAACTGTAAACATAAGGAACCAGCCTGTGCTTCCAACAGGGCTAGGTAATTGCAGTTTAGGAGGTGCTGTGAGGGGATAAAAGAGAAAAAAACAGCTAGAGGATGTGTAGAAAATGGTCTTTTTTATTGTTTGGTCATTCTGGTGCTGCTCTGGGTGAAGTGCTTAGGCCCTTTTGAAGATTCTCTTGGATTCAACTCCTTCATAGATGTAGGTCTGTTAAGAAAGCAGGAAGAAGAGTCAGTGGCTGGTACTGCAAAGTTTCACTTCACAGATGCCGTTGAGAGATGATCAGTAGTGATGTAATTAATTGTGAAGGGTTGCTGTGTGGGGCCTTCTCTGGGGAGAGGAATGTAAGGCTAACAGCCTGTTGTCAACAGGCAGAAATTCTCCATGCAAACACTTGAACCACCATGGGACAGCTTTTTGGGGTTTCAGGGAAAAAACAGAGGATACTTGGAAAAGAGCCTTGAGCCAGAACACATCTCTATTTAGATTTAGGTACAACAGACAGCTAGATACATAGATAGAGCTGTAATATCTGTAATAGATATATATATTTATATATATAGTAAATAGCTACTGTTTGTCTATTTATCTGTCTCTGTCTTCTGTGTAGAGCTTGTAATCCCAGGCTTCAGGATGCATGGATAAGATACACTTCACATGGGTAGGAAAATGTAAAAATCACACATTGTGGGTCTTATTTTCCAAGTTTTAAATTTTGATAGGCGACTTGAGAATTTTAACTAAAGATAAATGAGGTTATTTGGCTTGAAGAAAATATTTTTTACTTTCAGAACAGCTTTAAAAATTTTTCTAGTTCATTCTGTTGTAAAGTTGTGTGTAAGTGACTGCTTAACTCACCTGAACGAGTTCATCACCGACGATTTCTCTGTGTGCTGTGAGTACTTTGCCGTTGTCTTTCCTGGTGAATGTGCCCACAAGTTTGTTTCCTTCCATGTTCCAAGAGCCCTGTAATGGGAATAAAAATCCCAAATATTTGTCAACATATATGGCACTCATTTGATTTAAAGGCTGCAGAATGCTTAAAAGTCAGAAAAGATTGAAACAGTGTAATAATGCTTTTTTGGGCATTGATGGAAAGGCTGTAAAAAGGATATTTTAATAGAATCATAGGTTTATTTAATAGACAATAGCTACAAATCTTTGTCCATTATCATTTGGTAGGGATCTGTATCTGTTATTATAATCTTGTACATCTATAGGTTGCAGCCTGGAATCAGAGGTTTTACTGAAATGTAGCTATAAATAGACATATAAATAGACAAAAAGACATAATAGACAAGCTAGATTCTTTTAGTGGTCAGCACACCTTATTTTACTTAATAGTATCAACAGCAAAGAAGTTAATTTCTTATAAATCCTCACTCTGCACTCTAGGTGGTGGACTTGAGTGCTAGAATAAGTAAAACTGCAATCACCTGGATCTCATCCTGTGAAAATTGCTAGCTCTGCTTTTTGGGCTCTCCATGGTGCACTCAGTTCCATAAATACATGTTGAACCATTAACACTTTATGCTACCTTGGGTTTTTGTGCATAAGCTGCAACCATTCCTGCACAGTCACACTTCAAAAGTAAAATTTAGATTAAAAGCTAGGAAGACAAATCTTTCATCTTGAAACTGTACTTCCTAAAGTTATGACCATGTAATAAATATAGAACTGTACAGAAAGACTCTTACAGTAAGCTCAGTGCCATCAGCCAGGCTGTACTCAAAACTGACTCCCAGGGTGAATTCAATCTCTATGGTGCGGAAGTTGCTTGCTTCTTTCACATTAAACTTGTTCCCATCCTGTTGGATAGTGATCTTCAGATTGTCATGAGCTCCAAGCTTTCTCTTCATTAAGTTAACACCTAGAGAAATCAATTAACTTAAATCAGAAAAAAACCCCAAACACCTAGAGCATCATATTCGTCTCTTTTTAGTGACCTTTATGTGGTCGAGTGAGTTTATTTCAGCATTATGACCCAAATTTTTATTCTTTTTCACTTTTCACCGCGGCTGTATTCACCAGTGCAGATATAATGCAAACCACTATAAAAACATGGAATGGTTATGTTTATATCCATATCATGCACAATTTTTACAAACTTTGGGTAAGTATCAGGATATTAGAATTACTTGAATCAAGTGTTTCTATAAAATTGAAGAATAATTATTTCCTCCTTACGTAATTTTTAAACTAGTTTAATGTTATCACAATAATATTCCTGCTACAAAATTCTGTAGAAAGTTTATCATTCAAATCCCCTGGGCCTTTTCCTCAAATGTAGACTTAGAGAATTTTTTTTCTGCTGAAATAAACCTGGAATTAGTTAAGATGCTTAAGATTAACATAATTAAAATGAGAACATTTCTCAGTATCTTCCCCCCACCCCATGAAATAGTTTGCAGATGAAAGCAGTACACTGTGCAAGGGCAGAGCAGCACACAGTGAAAGGACTGGGTTTGTATTCAGCTGGAGTGGTATTTTTCCTGCAGAAGGGATTGGAAAAGTAGGACTTACCCATCGCCTCCATGAACTTCTCATAGTTCTCATTTCTGTCTATTTTCCAAGTCCCGTTGAGGGCCATGGCTGTGTCTGGGGGAGCACTGCTGTGAACAAACGTGTCTTTGCAAAGACAATTTATGGACTGGCTTATCTGGAGAGCAATTTACAGGATGATGTGGCTGACTAAAGCTCATCTGAGGCGCTGATCTTTTCAAGGGGAAGTTTACTGTAGTTTAATCACATTTCCAGTCCTGACCACATTGCTTGCTGAATCTCTTTCTTACTGCCCCCAGATCATGACAGTATCTTTATTGCTCATCTGAATAAAGAATTGCTAATCCATTTATTCTATCCACCACGTGTGAGTTGTAGTAAAGATCAGTTTTCTAGTGAAAGCAGCAATTAAACTAAGAACATTTCTTGACATTTTCTCTCTGTTGTATCTTCATGCTTTTGGGACAGTCTTTATGCAACTGGAGGACATATATTTGCCAAATAAATCAAACACAAATCTTTACTTTGTCCATTATAATTTGGTAGGGATCTGTATCTGTTATCATAATCTTGTACATCTATAGGCTGCAGCCTGGAATCAGAGGTTTTACTGAAATGTAGCTATAAATTTAGAGCTTTGCCAGTGATACCAGAATACTGTGGCTTTTCACTCCAGTCACCTTCATTCTGAAATCAATAGTCATCTGGCTAACAGACTGGAGAGAAAAAATAGCTTAAGTATTTCTTACTTGATGAAAAGAAAACAAAAATGAAT